AGGCTGCAGTATAATGTGAACATAACTTCCAGATGGAAATTGAGTGGTATGTAACTTGCCTTATTGCAGAGGTCTAGAACTGACCTCCACAGTATATGCTGGTCTCATTTGTGCTCTTTGTGGCCCAGAAGAGGTCCTGGCTGGTTCGGAGGACCTGAGGGAGGATACTGAATGGGAGGGCGAGCGTGAAATGAACAGGTAGCGCTGGAGACATGGTGGCAAGAGCTCCAGGAAGTTGCTGAGGATTAAGAGAACGAGCCCGTGGGGCTAGTGGGGCAAACAAGGTGAACAGGAAGGGAAGACAGCTTTGGTAAGAGCCCAAGGAAAGAGGGGCTCTGACCTCGGGCCCCATTTCTCTGTCAGTCATCCTTCGCGCCCAGGCTCACTCCCAAGTTTGCTGTTCACTGGAGGAGTCCAAAGTTACCCGTGGAAGCTCTGGGGCGGGAGATGCACTGCAGCAACGGCTCACTGGTCCATGATGGAGCGCTGCAGCACCTGGTTCATCATGTCCTCTTCATCCACATCATAATCCTGTGACGGAACACGACACTCAGTCACTGCTGGTCAAGGAAGAGGCAGGCAGCCTGCCAATGGGCTCTGGAAGGGATGGCCCAGGACCAGATCCACCCCTTTGCTGGCTTACCCTAGCTGTGACTCTGGGCTAATAACCTAACCTCTCTATGCCTCTGCTACCTTATCCTTAGGATGAGAACAAAGACGTTGCCCTCTCATGGAGACTGAGCACAGACCAAGGCCCGTGTGTTTGCACGTAGCCCATCAACTGGGGAAGCTAAGCACCACCATGAACACACTGGCTGAGCACCTTTCTCTCTGGGTGGCATCAGTGGCCAGCACAGAATAGGGACCAGAATGCCCCAGAGAAACTACAATGAAATGAACTTTCTTTAAGGAGACAAAATGATGTGCACAACTGTTTTTCAGGAATTCTATCCATTTTGACAGCATCAACTGTTAATAGCTTTCCTGACAACATAAATGGGACCTAGAACAGTCCCTCTCAGGTCCTGGGATGAAGTCACTAGAACTGACTACTACACTGATCCTGACTTCATAGCATTCGGTGCAAAGGAAAGACCTATGCCCAGCAGTTGGCCACATTGACCTGCCACTGGAATGCCAACCAATAGCATGCCACTTCAAGCCCACCCAGCTCCAGGAAAGGTTGTAGGCTTGACCATCACCACCTGGCTGGTTGTGACCCACCAAAGGAAATTCTGCATCTCCAGCTTCTTGGGGGAGGGAGAGCGGGGGAGACCGGTGAGCCTGAACTTGGCAGGACTTCTGATTTCCATGTAACAACAATCAGCTGGAAGGCTGCAGCTCACTCACTGCTCTCTCAATAAGCCACTCACCCTTCAGCTTGTAAATCCTTATGAGAAAGCCTTGATATGTGGGCTTAAAATATACACATGCACTGAATCAAACCAGGCTAAACAGGCAGAAACTGTATGTACCAGAGAAAATGGGTAAACCTTTCTTGTTTCTCTGTCTAGATACTCAACCAGTTCATCTTCTCAATGCCAAAGCCCAGGAAGCTCTGGCCACCCCCAGCTCCCAAGACTGGCATGAGTAGTCCATTCCAGCAGGTGAGATGAGCTCAACATCAGGGCCCAGAGCTCCCATGTTAAGTGACGTGATGAGCTGTGCTGAGACTCACCACAAAGGTGTCATAAGAGAACTGGTGCCGGCGCTGGATGTGCTCTATGAAGTTGGCGCTGCGGTAGTTGGGGTCTCCCCAGGGCATCGAGGCACATATCGGACAAACCTGTTAACAAAAAAGGTCTTAAGCCCTCTGTTGCCCCTGTCTGGCTACTTTTCCTGAGAAACAGCCTGAGCCTAGTCACTCCTGCATGTCCATACCAGTGTTTAAGAAACACCTTTGTTTCCTCACATGGAATGGCACAGGGAGTGGACAAAAGCTTCTGTCACAATGTCCCCCTTTTTGTGATCCGCTATACCATAGTCAGAGTAGTGTGACAGTGCAGAGAGGGCACAGAATATGGCCTTCTAAGCCCATGCACTAGATGACCCCAAAACACACAAAAAAGGCAAGCAAAGCACCAGACACGTATCCCAGGGGGTCAAAGGCCCAGTGTGCTCCCATGTTGAAGGAAAGGCACAATGAGGGGTCACGCTGAACAGGCCTCAGACCGGAGCCTGGCTGGAGCTTACAAGGTTGGGAGGGGTTCAGAAAAGTAAAGAGAAGCCAAAAGGGGGTTCCTGGGGCGGGGGTGGGTGGGTGGGAGTGGGACAGCAGCGTGAAGAGCAGACAAGGAGGCCGGGGAGGGGAAGGAGTCAGCCGGCTGGTCTGACTAGAATGGGAGAGCTGTGGAGATTCGCAGAGAGGGGTGGGAGGGGCATAAACGCTCCCCTTTGGAGGTGGCACAGGGAAGACAGGGTGACAAGGGATGAGCCCGAGCTGAAGCACTTGTTGTGGAGCTTGAGCCCAGGCCAGGACCAGGGACTGTGGAGGAGAAGGGAGTTAGGGGTAGGGTCCTGTCGGAGATGAGGCCTTCGTCAGGAAAAGAACTGGAGAGGTTAAGCCGCAGGAGGGGAGGGAAGACGGGAATTCAGCCATACTACCAGAAACCGTGGAGTGGGTTAGCAATGGGCAGCCATCGTAATTATGAGTGCACATAACCTTGGGCCACATCGGTCCACTCAAATGACTTTCATTATACACACACTTACAGGGGCCAAGATATGCCAGGATGTGTGTGGTGACATGTAAAAACGTATTCTGAAAAATGTCAAGCATACAGAAAACCAGAAACTACATGGACATCTGCCATACTGATTTCAACAAAAAGCAAACAAAAAAGGAAAGCATTTTAAGACACTCAACAGCGAGTCCGCAATCAATTTCCTGACATCATCTGTGAATAAGCTCACTGTCCCTTCCTTAAGGAGCAGTTGAATAATGGCATAGCCACGCAGCAGAGGGGGCAGTGACTTCCCGTGACCGGTGAGGGGTCATCTGGAAACAGACAGTGAGGATGGCTGCAGTCTGATGTCTGCCATCTAGCTCACAACCTGTACCCGCACAAAAATTTCAAACTGGCCAATACCTTATTAACTTCATAGCAGAAAATTTTTAAAAAGAGGGAGCAAACCAACATGTATCTTAATAGATTAGAAGCAATGCCAAGAATATTACTGCAGTTTACAGAATCTGTAATCCATGACTGGCATGGAAATGGGACACACAAACCTCATGACAGACAAGCACTGGGGCCACCACCCAGTTTTACTGACCGTTCTAGTTTACTGGTCAGAATGACCAACATACAGGCTGACCCTTGCTTTATTTATTGTGCTTCACAGATATTGTATTAAAACCAGAACAAAACCATCAAAGTCATGTTTAGAAGCAACCCTGCATCAAAGCAAATCTATTGGTGCTATTTTTCCAAGTATGTGCTCACCTGGTGTCTCTGGGTCACATTTTGGTCATTCTCACGGTGCTTCAATAATGCTGTTGCACATTTAATAGGCTGCAGTATAATGTGAACATAACTTCCAGATGGAAATTGAGTGGTATGTAACTTGCCTTATTGCAGAGGTCTAGAACTGACCTCCACAGTATCTCTGAGGTATGTCTGAAAATGGGTCCTGGTCTTTTTGTGATGTGTCTTAGCACATGGGCTTTCTCAAACAAGAATCAGTTTTTAGGAACCATAAGTAAAACCTCCTGAAAACAGGAGTTGAAACGTGACTCTGAAGTACTTTTCATAAAACACACCTCTTATCTTGCCTAAGAATGTGTACTGTGCAGCCATTGTGGGATTACACAGGAGAGCAACACTCACTCACAGCCACTGAGTCAAATCTGACTTACAGTGACCCTGTAGGCAGTGTCCAGAACTGCCCCCGGGGGGTTCTGAGACTATAAATCAGTGGTTCTCAACCTTCCTAATGCCACAACCCTTTAATACAGTTCCTCATGGTGTGATAACTCCCAACCATAAAATTATTTTCATTCCTACTTCTTAACTGTAATTTTGGTACTGTTAGGAATTGGGCAACCCCTCTGAAAGGGTCGTTAGACCCTCTAAGGGGTCGCAACCCACAGGTTGAGAACCACTGCCATAAATCTTTATGGGAATAGAAAGCCTCATTTTTATTCCGAGCAGCTGGTGGTTTTGAACTGCTGACCCTGCAGTTGGGAGTTCAATGAGAAACCCACTATACTACCAGGGTTCCTGAAGGCAAAACAGTAGGTATAATAACTTTTACAGATGGAACTATGTCTCCAAAAGCACATGGTGAATCTTAACCTTGGAACCTATGATCGTGACTCTAGAAATAGGTCTTAGAAGATGTTTTCCAGCTTAACTACCATGAGGCCCTACTGGGGCAGAGTGGGTTCCATATGACTAGTTCTTATAGGAGAAGATACAGAGAGAAACAGAAGATACAGGAGCCACAGAATGATAAATGCCATGTGATGCTGCAGCTGCAAGGGAAGAAGGCTGGGAGCTAGCAGAAGCTGAGAGAGAGACAGAAGCTGAGTCTTTCCAAGGCTCACAGCAGACAATGCTGACACCCTAACTTAGGATCCCACCCCCGGCCTTCAGAGCAGAGATTATATAATCCTGTTCTTTGAAGCTCCCCAATTGGAGGTCTTTGTTACAGCGGCCCTAGGAAACTAACACAATTGCCTACTTCAGGCTGAAGTTTCCATGTGTGTATGATAGACATGTTAGAAAGATAACTGTTGGTGTCAAATGAGGAGGCCTGATTTGATTATTTCTGAGGGAAACCAATCAGTTCTTTGTGATTGGCTAATTTCATGGATGGCCACCATGGTGTGATGTCTTGCCTCTACACTGGGTTCACCTTTATTACACTATAATGGGAAGTGGTGATAGGGTATGTTCTTCACGGGTTAATAAATTGGAATACAGAATAAAACGCCAGAGTCTAAAGGAACACTGGAGACAATGCTGTGGCAGGGAACTGGGGGACCAGGGAAAGGGCTGGAGACCCACACGTAGAAGCGAAAGAAAACAAGAACTCCAAGTGAAGCAGCTAGGACCATGGAGGTGATGTCAGCAGGATGGGTGGGCGGCAGCCAGACTCTAGGGGACACAGGAAAGGACAGGAACGTAGGGGCAGCAGCTGAAAAGCACAGCTTGAGGGGCAAGAGAAAATGCCAGGTCAGCTATGCTTCCCATGACTTAGTTCTGAGGACTTGGGACACATATGAAGGAACACAAAGAAGCAGGTAGAGAGAAATGCTGAAGGTGAGACAAGAAACATGACAGGTGACGTGTAGGAAGCGGCACGAAAATGGAAAACTTACTGAGCTCTGACTCTGGGTCAGTCACTCTCTTGGTCCTTTACGAACACTTGACAAGGAGCCTTCCTTTCAGACTGGCGGGGAGGGAAGCACTCGAAGGAGGGTTACAAATTAAAGTGCTTACGGGTGCCAGCTGGGAAGGCAACCAAGTGAAGCAAGTCAGGTACAAGGGAAGACACATGTCCCTAGAGGGGCAGTAGCTTCTCAGAGCCAGTTGAGTTTTGCCAGTACTTCTCATTTTCAAATATAGAACACCCAAACTGAGCAACCTGCTACCTTGTAAAGGTTAGAGGCATGAATATGTCAGGGCCTGGAGGGTCAGGGTGTGGCCTCAGGGGTGGACAGGAGTGATAAGGAACCCACACCTGATGCTTTGACCATCTTAAATGCAGGATTCAGCTTCTATTTGGGAAGGATGGTGCAGTTCCCACTGGGAGCTTATGAAAACGGACTTAGCCCTTAAGAGTGTGTGCTTGAGACTACAAAGATGAATTAAGGAAGCTCACTGTGGATGACACTGGCACAGTTCTCCAGTCAGGCGGTGGGAAGAGCAGACAGCAAGGCTATCCATCCCTAAAATCAGCCACAGCACCATAAAAGGGAGCCCCATGTAAAGGGTGGCTTCACTGATTAGTCTCGGGACTTGGCAAGGAGTTCAAAAATCAGAGGAGGAGTTAAGGCATTCTTTGACCATTCGTGCTTTAAGATTTATGGTAGAAAAGCAAAGTCTGCTGCTAGGCCTAGGAAGGTGAGCAATAATAGCTGCCCTCCTATCCTTACAAAGGTTCAGGTAAACCTAGAGTGGGCACTCCGCTTTACAGCTAAAGACTGCCTGCTGAAGGAGGCCCATGGCTCATAAGCAGCGGCCTGAGACAAATGGGGGAAACCAAACCAAACCAAACCAAACCAAAGAGAACGATGCATTACCATCCAGTGGGCTAATCACATGAGGGATGAGTACACCATATTGCCAAAATGGACCAAATTCACACCTGCCAGCCTCTGATATTTAAATTAAAATGCCAAAGGATAGATGAGGTCTTTCTAAACAATTTCATAGAAGTCCTTTCCCCACATCTACGAAGAAGGTACTTTTAAAAAGAAAAAGTGAGTTTTATGGAGGAGAAACTTGGCAGGCACCAAGCAATCAGTCAGCATTATCAATAACAGGATCAACAGACACCGGAGAAGCCGTCACATAGCAGACAGTGGACCCATCACTTACCCCGTATCCAAAAACAGCAGGGCCAGAGACATTCTAACGGAAGGCCCCCCTACAAAACTGGCCTCTCCTGTCAGGGGAGCCAGCCCCTAACAAATCATCATGGGCCCGGCAGACGTAATTGTACAGTGATAATACGTAAAGATTACAGTAAAGTCACAGAGAATAAGAGAGGTAAAAGAGAGAACAAAATGAAAGCGTCAGGCATATTTTATGCTGCTCACCTCAACCCCGCTTGATGGTCCACATGGAGATCCGGAGACCAGACAGGAGCACAAGGGAGACCGATTTTATTTCTAACCAAAGCTTATATATACTTGGGCACGCAAGTTCCCTGATTACAGGTTAATGACCTACATCACAGGAAAGGGTTGTAACAAAGACAATAAAGTGAAGGGAGGGGAACAATCTAGGGGCGCATACGTAAAAGAAGAGGAAGGATCAGGGGTACACATGTGACAAGATGGGAAGATCCTAGATTCGGGATAGCAGCCTAACTTTGGATGTCACTGAGCAGGTTTGACCTGTTATAAGCTCTCTAAGGAAACAATCACTATCCTATCAATAGGGTGTAAGACCCACCTACAGAGGACCAGACAGTAGTCTGATTGCTCTGGATGGCTGAATGCCTACAGGGAGACTATCTCTGACCTCCCTCCATGTGCTGGCAAACAGCCTCATAGGTTTGGCATATCTTTGGGGGGAGACAAAGCTGGGGAAGTCTTTTTAGATCCCACAATTCCCCCTTTTGTTTTATATATAAAATTCAAAAGAGCCACAGGGGCGATGTGGTTATTTTCTTTACACTGAAGGCTCTCAAGGCAAATTTAATGACCAAATTAATGTAGTCAGGCTAATTGCAAAGCTTTTGAATCACAGGCTTGGAGGCTAAAGCTTCCCTATGCCCATCTGCTATTGGGGGAAAGTATGAGAGGGGTTGGATGCTGCGGCGGAAGAGATAGAGCAAAAAGGAATGTCTGCTTCTACAGGGAGACAGAATCAACCATGTGCTCACTTTAAGGCAGCTCAGCTTTAAGGGGAGAGTCTGTGGAAAAGTTAGTTAACGCAGGAAAATGTACTTAGACTATATCTCTAACTTCCTAAAGTGGAGGCTTTCCTACTGTGGAATACTAGCTTTCCAGATCCCCTCTACTAGTCAGGGATAAGTTCAGTCATATTTCCCTCAGAGTTAAGTTTCCCACACTATCCTTACAAAATGAGCTCTGGCGACAGTGGGCGACATGGTGGCTGCTTATCGCAAGGTCACAGTCCAAAACCACCAGCTGCTCCGTTGGAAAAAGATGAAGCTTTCTACAATCATAAAGATTTATAGTCCTGGAAACCCACCCGGGCACTTCAACCCTGTCTAACTGGGTCCATGAGTTGGATCAACTCGATGGCAGTGAGTTTTGAGTTTCTGAGTCATCACCAAACACCAGCATGGGGAAAGAGGATGTGTTCCAGATTAAAGGACACAGAGGAGATATGGCAACTGTCACACACTGGACCTAGGAATTTGGGAGATGGGGAAAGAGCTAGGAAGGACATTACAGTAATTGTTAACATTTGAACATGGATCCTACATTAGATTTTAGACTAGTGACTCTTACCACAGACTTGGTATCTGTACTATGGAATAGTTTGCAGTGCTCCACAAGTCCTTCCTGGTCAAAGTTCTTCTCAGGACAATAAGGGCAAGGAAAAGTGTAACGGTTAGGGATATTCCTGGAAGATGAAAGGCAGAAAAAAAGAAGTTAATTTCCATGAGGAACTTTCCACACAACTTCCAACTATTGTACAGGCTAAATCAAAAAGAATAGCTACTAGGGTTCCAGGTCATACCTGCACAAGTCTGTCCCACATAAATGTGCTGCAACGGCTCTGTGATCAATGGATGGCAGTGGTTACATGCTGGGCTGCTAACCAGTACAATCAGTTTGAAACCACAAGCTGCTCCAGGGGCAAAAACAAGTTACTTTCTACTCCCATCAAGAGTCCTGTCTCTGGAACTCACTGGGGCGGTTCTATACTGTTCCACAGGGCCGCTACGAGTCATCATCAACGTGAAGACAGTGGATTTGTTTGTTTTAGTCATTATTAGGATGACTTAGAGAGAGAGAGAAAAAAAATATTTCTTGTGCTATAGGGGAACAAAAAGATTTTGCGGTCTGGGTTAATATAAAATCTTTTTAACAAAGCCTAAGTGGACATCTTCCCAAATCACCGAAGCTTTGCATCAAATATACAGGAATGTTGACCTACATAAAGCAAGTTTTTAGATGAGTTTTAAGGAAGGCCTAAAGATGAGCAGAGCAGAGATGTCAGCTCAGAAGGTTACAGAAATTGTTTTGGGGTTTCCAGAGGGGTAACCTTGATCAATTTTATCCATGAAGAGTTATGAAGAAATTTCAAGAAAATAGAAAACTGCATTGGTGAGAAAAAGGTCAATAAAGTTGGGCCATGGAATTTTTCCTTCACAACAATGCAGCTGTTCACTCTTTAAGGGCTGTCCTACGAGAATCACGCTGGGAAACCTTACCCCCAGTATACAGCCCTGATCCTGCCCCTTCCTTCAAGCTTCTTTTTGCTCTCCATACTCAAAGAATATTTCAAAGGAAGAGGATTTGAGTCTCTGGAATATGCCCAAACGGCTATTTTGATGTGATCTACTTTGACAAGCACAGAATTCTTCAGGGAAGGGCTAGAGATATAGAAACCCCACCTTCAGAAGTGTTGAGGACACATTAAGAAAAAAATAGCTCCATGTTTTATATTGTCTTTAATAAAAGGGGTTTATGACTTTACAGCAACACTTTTTGACTTTTCTTGGATGCTTCAAAAACGACAAAGCTCACTAAGGCTATTATGACTAGGATTCTGATTTCCAGATCAGAGTCAGGTCAAGTGTTTGAACATAACTTAATGGCACAGCTAACACTTGACGAGAACTCTAGAGAGACACCCCGCTCCCTTTAAAACACAAAACAAAAAATCATGTAGATAGGTCACAGCATAACAATAATATCTTTATCAGTTGGCCAAACTCACATCTAACCCCCCCAACACACCAAGTGAACATCATCTTTGTAGCAGAGATCCCCACCAATGGAAGTGGATGAGACTCTTACCTCGCCTGAAGGGATGCATCCTTAGTGGTGGCCTTCACGCCTTCCATGATGTAATTCTGGTATTTGGAGCAGGTAACCACGTGGGCCCGGATCTTAGACAGGAAGAACTAAAGAATCACACGGTACAAGTTAGGCTCTTGTAACAGGCTCAATACAGCCACCAAAGCAAGGGCAAGACAAAAACTCACAGTGCACTACCGTGACAAACACCCCCCAAAATCCTTAGCTGTGTCTGTGGACCTGAAACCCTGTCCATTAGTTCTGGAACTTCTGTTATTACTGAGACCAATGCTTTACTCAAACAAATCAGGACACCTTCTTCTACCCTAAAACAAAAGAAATCTCCTAGAGATTTACTTGATTTAGACTAAGCTTTCTGCTAAATCTAGTGACACTGCTTAAGATTCTTGCACTAGATTTTAGATTTACACCAGTCTCCTCACAGAAAGCCCAAATCCACATTCTTACACATCTGTGCAACAGAAAAAAGTAATCATTTCAGGAAAATAGATAAAAAGCTAGGGAGCCAAGATAGGTATTAAATGCCAAATTGTGATAGATGATTTTAAAGAACCCACAAACTGAATTCTATCTTTGCTATAAAAATCTTCCTTTTGGAAAAGTTAAGTTGGAAAGAGATAAAAACCCAGAGAAGAGTTCTTTTTACAAGCATTCTAAAAAGGAAAAAAATGTGTAAGAAATAAATAAAGAAATTAGAGGAGAAAACCATTTTGGAGGTATATCCACAATATAGTCACTAATCATTTTTAAAAGAAAATCAAAAGCATACAAAAACAAAACAAAACAAAAAACAAAGAAGCTCGACCTTTTTAACCATGCATAAAGGTAATAATAAAAAGCTTTAATATCTAATATTTCTAAACTAAAGGAAATTATGAGGAATAAAGCTCCACTATTTGAGCTCTGGCTTATCATAATTCTTCCGTCTTACCTGTAGCTATAAAACACAAGGTGACTTTTAGCTGCCAACCAAGAACAATAACAACTACAAAATAAAACCCTCACTGCTATCGAGTTGATTCAAACTCACAGGAGCTTTATAGGACAGAGTAGAACTGTAAATCTTTATGGAAGCAGACTGCCTCACATTTCCCTCAGGGGAAATAGCCCTATTAAGAACTGTAATCAATCACCATGAATGTCCAGGGCTAAACCACTCAGACAGGAAAGTGATATTAAGGAATATTCATACGATGGAAAGAAGCAGGCATTAAAATTAATGAAATTTACATGCAAGGCTGACCAGTAAGCCATTAAGTGAAAAAAATAATATCAAGGCGTAACTACATACTATAGTATGATAATCACTTCATGAAACTCTCATATTAGGTTTCCAAAAACGTATCTGTGTTGGTCAAAAGTTAGAAAATGTTAGGCAGGCTTCTACTATCAACCACTTTTAAAGTGGCAACCTTTGAAGCAAGGATTAGGGAAGAAGCCTACATTATTTGATGTTTGCATTTGTATGAAATTAACAAACTTGCAATGACTGTAAAACCAGGAATTCTCTCAAAAGTGAAATGGCACAGCCACCACACATAACTAGCCATGCAGGATGCCACTGTGTCGCCCATCCATGCTAACGTCAGAAATGGCACTACCACAGTTGGCCGTTTACCCGTCTTGTCCGTTTTACGTCCACATACATTTTTATGGCAGCCATGGCAAGAAGTTTCTGTGCTCTCAAGCTGCCGCTCAAGCTCCGCAGCTCGGACGCCAGGGGCCAGAGCGCTTCGACATACCCCACAGACAGGTTTCTTCGGTTTCAGACATTCCTGAAGGCATGCAGAGCAAAAGCTAGAACAAGACACACAGAGAACCGCTGTCATGCATCATGGAGACAAGACAACAAAAATGGATAACCTTTTAAAAAGACATCAGTGAATAACAAATTAAAAAAAACTTGCTCCCTGCTCCCAATAGCGAATACATCCAGGGCAGAGACTGGGGAAGTGGAGCCTGCAGAGGCACACAGGCCCAGCAACAGAAAAAAAACTGCAAACTACTTTGAAACCAGTATGGTTGAGATTGTTGTGCTGCTGAGCCGGTTCCAACTCATCATGCGTTCAAGAGAAGGAATGAAACCCTGTCCGGTCTGTGCCTTTCTTACAATTGTTATGTTTGAGCCCAGTGTGCTAATCCATCTCTGAGGGGCATTCCTCTTGATGATTCCCCTACCAAGCATGGTGTCCTTCTCCAGGGACTGGTCTCTCCTGATAACATGTTCATTGTACATGAGATGATGTCTCACCATCCTTGTCTCTAAAGGAGCATCTGGTTATATTTCTTCCACGGCAGATTTGTTTGTTCTTCTGAAAGTCCATGGTATACTTAGTATTCTTTACCAACATTTTAATTCAAATGATTATTTCTCAACATTCAACTAATCCTAGTAGGTACAACCATGCCTATTTCATAGAGGTGAATGTTTCAGGGAATCCTGTCAAAATCTCTCTAGGGTAAGAACTTATGTTTGAGATTCAGTCTGTTACCTCAAAACCCAAACCAAACCCACTGTTATCAAGTTGATTCCAATTCAGAGTGACTCTGTAGGCAAGAGCAGAACTACCTTATGGGATTTCCTAGGCTATAATCTTTATGGGAGCAGACTGTCATGTATTTCTCTATGGAGCAGCTGGTGGGCTTTAACTACCAATCTACCAGTTAGCAGATGCGTGCTTAACCACTGCACCACCAAGGCTCAGTGTTTTATCTCGGCCCTAATTCAAATGAACTTTTTAAAATGAATCATTTTATTGGGGGTCCTTACAGCTCTTATAACATTCCATACATCAATTGTATCAAGGATATTTGAACCATTATTACCTAATGTTCCAGTAAAACAGTGACCTTTCAAACCTTCGGCCCTATACTGACGATCTTGCCAAGGTCCTCTAAAAGTCTTCTCCTCTGTGAAATAGACACTGTCAGGCCTACCTCTAGGATGTGTTGGGAGGATGATAGCAGACATTCAGTACAGAGTCTAACACATGTGAAGGGCACAGTAAATGGGCTCAAAGTGCTGTGTGCATGCAAGAGCAAGAGCAACTGGCTATGAGTGGAGGTGGTCAGAGCTGACCAGAGTGCAGAGATGGCACCCACTGTCAGCGTTAAATGAAGAGTTCACCTAGGAGGATGGGAAAAGTATTCTCAGCCCTTAGGAAATAAAATCAAACAGACTTTTCCTTGTAAGCAGTAGAGACCTAGAGATTTAAAGCAAGCTATCAACAAGAACAAATCCAAGTTTTAGAAAAAGAACTCTGATGGTATTGAGGACAACGGGATTTTCTGTTTGCGTGTAGGTGAGGGGAGATAAGAAGAGACCTGAAGTAGAGACCAAACAGATGGCTGACGGCAAGGGTCCTGAGGACCTGACAGGTCACAGATAATGAATTCAAGAAATGATTCAGGGGCTGAATTAGCAGGGCCTGTTCATTTAGTTGGAAAAGTTCCAACAGCTGATTGAATCTGGAGGAGGAAGGTCAGAGATGACAGTGAGTCTCGATCCCCAGTGCCCCTGCAGGGAAGGTAAACAGAAGGCATGGAAATGAGGCATGGAAACACCCTTGGCTATTGAGCCAACTTACCCAGCAGAACCGATTTATGACAGATTCACTGACTCTGCCAGGAAGAACTTATGATAAACACCAATGGTTACCTTTGGCCCACTTGACTAATTTTTACTGTCCAAGATTTTCTTTCACTTTGTCATTATGCTAAATGTCAATGCTGCTAGGCAAAATTCTACACCGGATGGGATCTGATGAGGACATCTCTTCCTTCCCACTGAGGGCACTGTGGTAAATCAGCCAAGGGTCCTCCTGAATTTGAGTGGAAACAGACCAAATGTTGATTACAGATAGTGATGAAGGAAATAAAAGAAGGCAAAATCAGGTGGGGTGAATACAGAGGAGGAGGTGAGCTCAGGACCTAAAATTATGAGGGAGCTTCATGGATCTTGGCAGAAAGACTTCCAGGCAAAGATGACACCAAGTACAAAGAGGTTCCCGAAAGGTAGGAAGAGAGGCCTGTGGGGGCTACAATGTAGTAGATCAAAGGATGAAGGATAAGGGATGAGGTGGGCAGGGCCCTGTGGCTTGGCTATGCCACTTCTCCCAGACAGATCAAGTGAATAAGCCAAGAGAACACAGGAGGTCCCAGAGAGCACAATGCTATGAAACCAAACCTCGCCTGTAACTACACAACAGTTCGAAAGTATCCCCTCTAGCACACTTTGTTCAAACATTCACTAGCCACTCTGTGCCTGACTCATGCCTGTTAACAATCCTGTAATCTGCCCCTGCATTGAGACTGCTTTTCAGTTTCCATTTCCTAACCCTGGGTCCCTTTCTAGATCAGCCATCCAGAGTTGCCCGTTCATGTGACAGTGCTATTTAGAAATCCTCTTCTCTTGGGCACCCCGCCACCTGTCCTTCTCCAGCTGTATTCCACTAGGTGGCAGAAAAATGTGGTTATTCAGGACTTGAAGTCAAGTTTTCTAAAAATCCAACGCCCCAGCCAGAAATGCAGTGATGAGCATGTCTCCAAACACAAACTTATCAAGAATCAAGGAGGTAGAGCAGAAAGCAGGGCTGGCTGGCTGGGAGAGCGCCTGCCCTGCAAGCACACAGGTCTCTCCAGCTGTCTTCACTGAACACTGAACACATGGTGGAACCAGTATGACAAGTGTACAAGAGCCAGGTTTGAATCCCAGCGCTGCCCCTTGCCCTCTGACCAAGGGAAGGCTCACTGGCCCATAACCTCCAATGCTGCTGCTCTTCCGGTGGTCCACTCTGCTGGGTCAAGCCTCTTCATAACTTCTTCATAAACCATTAACAATAAATTCAATCACTGAATTTATTCCAAATGAGGGCAACCTGAGGATTAGGAGGGCTGATGCAAAGCTGCCTAGACCTCACTTTCAAAGGACACAAACTCCACCACTGATTTCTTAGTTCGTTCATGCCCTGTTCACTTCCCTTCTCTCCACACAGCTTTATTCCCCCACTGCACAATTCATTTTCAAAATAGCATGAACATTCATTAGTGTTATGTAGGAACAATTCACCAGGCCTTTGAACTGAGGACCAGGTCATGTTTCTTACTCTATTCCAGTCAGCTGAATGGAAGGCGGGAAGATGGATCCTCAGATACGGAGGACACAGGAAGGGGCCAAATGAGTATGATGACTCCCCGCATGATCCCTCAGGTTTCTTCTAAGCAGGGAAGGATAAGCCGGCCAGACCCAGAGGAGAAGGGGTACTCATTTTGACAGGAGTGATGATCAGGCAGGGAATTACAATGGGACTTGAAGGCTGGGAAGGATTAGGAATCCTGGCAGGTGGAAGTGTGGGTGGAGTATGGAGAATTCTAGATGAACTGAACAGCAAGCGGGAACAGCTGGAAGCAGTAAAGAAGCTCAGTGTAGCTGAAGAGGCCAGAAGCTGCCAGCAAGGCTGGGGAGCCCTTGCCATGTGCCCCACTGATCCCGATAAGCCAGTGTGCCTCGGCCTCCTCATCTGGAAAATAAAAAGCCCCTGGAAGCACCGGTGAAGAAGATGGCCCAACAAGAGTCTAAACCCTACTGTGCCCAAGGACCCGTGAGCCCAACGTCATGGTGATGTCCAAGATCAACACCGAGCGATGCCAACTCTGAGAGGCAAGAAACGGGTTTTGTTTTATTTTGTTTCGAAAACCCTTTCCGTGTCGGTGCTGGCTGGAGCGAGGCTCCCATTCAATGCCACTGAAAACCTCAGGGCACCTATGCCTGCCTGCCTGCCTGCGACCTATGCTGGAGATTTTCCCGCCTCTCCCTTTCCTCCTCAGAACCCGTCTGCGAACACGATTCCGGTCCCGGAGGCTTACACTAGGAGGAAGAGGCAAACCCCACCCGCACGTCCACACGCTACGCGCCCCGCCG